TTCTCACGTGACCCCATTTTTGGGATGAGCGTATTATCTCTAATTCTAGTAGCTGTCAGGCTAGAAACAACATTGCCAGCAATAAAACAACATAAACATTCTAACTATCAAATGCCACAAATAAAGGGGAGACCAAAATGGCTCTGATATTGTCCCATGTCAACTTAAAACATCTTCTACATTTTAGATTTTGGCCTGTTGTAAGTAATTTCCTGGGCCACTCTACACATGGGCTGCATCCCTGATTGACACAATGAACATGGGTTTGGCTCTCATGGTAGGATTGGGGTTGCCTTATTTGCTTTAAGTGTCCACAACCCTTTCTCCTCTGCCAGTACTTCAGCACAGAAATCATTGACTATACTTACATTTCATTGTTTAAAACACAAATGTTCAGCTTTACATTTGGCTGTTTAAAGTTTCATTTCACACTCAGGCAAAACAGAACTGTCTGAGATTTCTGGTGGCTCTCATCACTTCCAAATCCCCCAAAACCTGGCACAGGGCCTAGGCTTTGATGCAAAAGTTCTCTGAGACCTCTTTAGAATCACAAAGAAGACCTCTGAACTCTCACTAAAGCCACTAGGCAACCTGCAGGCAAAGAAAGCCCCGGGAACATGCTTCAGGGCAGTGCCATGTTGGTAACTGGTAGGCAAACATCCTTTTGCTCAAATAAATGTGGGATGTGCAAGTTAAATGGACAGTTTGTCTCTAGTTAGAGTTTTCAATGTTTTCCTCCTGGTCTTGGGTACCCAGACTGTCTTGATGGAGGAGAGTGGGAGAGGGATAGACAGGGACACAGCCCGCAGTATTTTGCAAACCCATTGAACCACAGGTTTTTTGTTTGTTTGTTTTGTAGAGATAAGGTCTCACTATGATGCCCAGGCTGGTCTAAAACTAGTGGGCTTAAATAATTGTCTCGCCTCGGCCTCCCAAAGTGCTGGGATTATAGGCATGAGCCACTATGCCTGGCCAAAACTCATTTTTTAGTGCATCTTTTAGGACAAATGTTGCTCATAACATAAGTCTGTAAAAAGCTGCCCAAAATCTTTTTTTATTCCTGCAGTTCTAAATCCAAACTTAGAAGCAAAATGAGAAGGAACTAGGCCTGCTGACTGCCTACCACATGACAGGTACTTTACATATGTTCTCTGATTTGAATTTCGAGGTAAACTATTTTTATCTCCATTATACAGATGGGGTAAATGAGGCCTGCTAAGGTCAGAAATAGAGCTGACATTTCAGTGCAGGGATGTCTGACACCAAATGTCATACTTTCTTCTCCAGTCTTGTCCTCCTTGAGATAAATCTACTTCAGCATTTCACTGTAATTCTGTAGTGACTTTTTTTTTTTTTTTTTGTTGGAGTCTCACTCTGTCGCCCAGACTGGAGTGCAGTGGCCGCTTCCGGCCACCACAGCCTCGACCTGCTGGGCTCCGGCGATCCTTCTGCCTCAGCCTTCTGAGTAGCTGGAATTACAGGTGTGCGCTACCACGCCCGGCTAATTTTTTTTATTTATTGTAGAGATGAGGTCTCGCCTGCCCAGGCGGGTCAGGCAATCTACTCACCTCAGCCTCCCAAAGGTGCGGGATTACAGGCTGAGCCACCGAGCCCAGCTGTGACTATTTTTGAAAGAGTCTTTCAGTCCTACAGTTTTCTACCTTCCCATGTCTGTCCCCCAGGAAAAGAACAGTTGTGACTTCTATGACCAAAGGCATTGGGCTTCTCCCTATGACTTGCCATGGCTTGAGATGACCTGGAGCCTACACAGATGGGGGGAAGGTGCGTCACCAAAGAGATCACTGCCGGGACACTTCCTCGCTTCTCAATCTGCCAACACACAGGTGCTTGCTTCTCTTCATGCTATAGGGAGCTACAGATAGAAGTTGAACTATTTTCAACATTTGAATTTTTTTTTTTTTTTTTGAGTTGGAGTTTCACTCTGTCACCCAGACTGGAGTGCAGTGGCTGCTGCCGGCCATCGCAGCCTCGACCCTCTGGGTTCCGGCGATCCTGCCGCCTCAGCTTTCCAAGTAGGAGGCACGTGCTACCACGCCCGGCTGATTTTTGATTTATTGTAGAGACGAGGTCTCACCAAGTTGCCCAGGCGGGTCTCGAACCCACAGACTCAGGCAATCCACTCACCTCAGCCTCCCAAAGGCATGGGATTACAGGCTGAGCTACCGAGCCCGGCTACATTTGAATTTTTAATAAGCAGTTGTGAAAAAAATCGCAACTGTTTTACTGTTCCTTGGTATTTTTTTTAGCAATCCCTCTTTGAGAAAACAGCACTAGCTTCTCTTCCTTTTGCATCCATTGACTTAAGCTTAAGCTTTTGGTCTACATTAGAGTTGCTTATTTGTTTTTTAAAGGAAAAAAAAAATCTGAGGACCCCCCCCCAAAAAATCCTTATGTGAAAGGGAAAGTTAAGCCTGGAGGCTCAGTCATGTAACATCCTCTTCCAAATGAATAGTTCTTACTGGCAAGATCCATCAGCCAGATTCCAGGAAAGGAAAAGCCCTCAGGCGTATATGAAGGACAGCCCCCACAGATCGTTCAGAAGAAAATTTTTTGCTGGCCAGTTGTAAACAGGGCCATGCCAATTTTAACTACAGGTTTACAATCTAAGTCTGCCACCTAAAACTCAAGTTTGTTGGCTTCCAAGCTAAAAATGTCTGGTAACGTAGATTACAAACTTACCTTCCCAGGTGCAGAACAAAGACAAGATGAGGTCACTAATTTCTTCCACCTAACCAGAGACATCTGCATAACTGATTTTTCCTTTACTCTGTTTTCTCTTCAAACTTTCACCTTATCTTAAGTAAAATGTAAGAGTTACTGGGCACTAACTAATCTCATTTTCCTTATCACCTACCTCGCCCCTCTTCCTACATGCCCTCCCCTCCTTGAAGGAACTGTATCAATATGACACCTGAAATTTTCTTTGGAAAAATTGCCATAGATGTGTTGGTGGCTTGGGTTTCCCCATGTGCCCTAACGTTGACTCAATTAACCTCAATTGACTGAGGCTTTTGCTTCAGGCACTCATTTTGGTTATCAGTTTTTACTAGAATTCTCTAGAAACTGAAAACCAAAACAACAACAACAAAAGCCCAGGCCAAAAGGCCAGGAAGAATGACAGCAGGCAGGTGACTACAAAGAAAACAAACCAACCCCAGGGCACTTTCAGCAGAGGAATGCTATTCAATAGGTAGGGAAGCCATCCCTTCAGGGTAAGAGGGGGTGATTTTGCATAAAGCTTATTATCTAATCCATCTTGGCAGGCTCAACTATCCAGGTCTATCCAGAAATGACAATAAGCCCCATTCATTGTGTTAATTGGATGGAGGTCTCTCTCCACCTCATTCTTCCCTATCTCAGAAAAAACGTTAAAAGCAATTTCCTCCAGGTTGAACTATTTTCCTGGGACTTTAAAGAGGTGTATTTCTTGGATTCAAGGACAGTATTAAGATCAATTCACTTCATTTAATCCCTGAGCCTTTATTGATTAGCTTTTCTGAGTCCTGCACTAAACTACCTGCTTGGTGGAGAAAGAAAGAGCCAGAGATTCTTCTGCCCTTAAAGGAAATCTGAGTTGAGCATAAACAAGAAAGCAAAAGACTCGACTGTTTTTAAAGCTTAGTCTCCTTACCTAACAAAACAGAGATGAAAATATTTGCTGTACCTACATCCCAAGAAGATAATGAGACATAAATGAAATAAAGTCTGAAAAATATGGTAAGAAGGAGAAACATGCCTTGTGCAAAAGGGTAGGAAAGACTGAGTGGCAGATTGTAAAAGAGACATTTGAAAACTTCACTGGCAGGCTGCCCACACCATCCATGTAAAACTGGTTAAATTCAGAAGCAAACTTTTTGCTTTTTAATAGTTTGAAGAAAGTTTTGTTTTGTTTTCTGGACTTTTTAAAAAATGATATATGTGGTATTTTATTTTTCAGCCTTATTGAGGTATAATTGGCAAGTTAAAATGATATATTTAAGATGCACATGTTTTGATATACATATATACCATAAATTAATTAATGCAATCAAGTTGATTAAGAATCCATTGCCTTATACAGTTACCAATTGTGTGTGTGTGTTTATGGTGTGTGTGTGGTGAGACACTTAAGATCTACCTTCATGGCAAATTTCAAATGGACATTATTATAAACTTTAGCCATCAAGCTGTACATCAGGTCTCTAGAATTTATTCATCCTGCATCAAAGCAACTCTATTGCCTTTCGGCCCGCATGTTTCCATTTGCACCAAACCCTTGATAACCACCATCCTGCTCTCTGCTTCTATGAGCTCACTTTTTTTTATTTTCCAACTCCTTGATTGGGAAGAAAAACCAAGTCAAATTCAATGAGATTAACTGAAAGTTAATCTTACACACTCATTTTTCTTTTCTCATGGATAAAATTTGGGACTTGAATTTGACCCAAACTCCAAACTTCTTGAGTTGGTAGCTTCCATATTCATTAAGCCCCAAAGGATCTTTTGGTCCCAAAGGAATGTTGGCTACTTTTTAAGAAAATTTAAATGTGATTTAAAGGTGTCTACATTCTAGTTTAGCACTAAACCAGTGAAAGATTACACTAATAACACGATGCCACCTACACATGGTTACTAGGTTAGCACTGTTATAATCTCAGGCATGTGATTATTAAATTAAATTTTAAACGAAGTGAAAAAGCTTTTCCTGTCTAGCAAGGAGAACATGTGCTATGATAAATTCTTTAAATTTTGTCACCTGCTTCTAAAATTCTATTTAAGTGATTGGTTTTGTACCACAAGTAACCGTGACAGAAATCTGCTTTGAGAGCCTGCCTGATTTACAGAAGAATTCTTCTAAGAACTGTGTGAAGGCCTCAACAAGAAGATTTCAGCATCAGGCAAAATTTGTCTGTCCAAAGGTTGCTTGGTAGCTCTGAAAACACAAGCAGAAAGCTCATCCTGAAATTATTTTTAACATATATTTTATCCACAAGACCTACCAGAGTACAGAAGATGCACTGGCACTGGGCTATAGTCGTCATCTGCTCCACTGGATACTCCCCAAGGCAGAGCTTACAAGACACCAGTGGGTCAAGGGCCAGGTCCCAAGTGGGCCGGTACCTTGCTGTGGTCATCGCAGAGCAGTCTGAAAAGAGAGAAGCACAGATGGTCAGATCTTCCCATCTCTGGCCTCCCCCAGACCTATGGCAGGTGTCACGCCGCCTGGCTATGGCTGGGGCCCAGCGAGGTGGAAAACTGAAGGTTGATGGTGCCTGGGGTTTTGGGCAAATTCATTTGAATACTCTGAGTTTTTGTTTTGTTTTGTTTTGTTTTGAGTTGGAGTCTCACTCTCTCACCCAGACTGGAGTGCAGTGGCTGCTCCCGGCCACCGCAGCCTCGACCGGCTGGGCTCCGGCGATCCTTCTGCCTCAGTCTTCCAAGTAGCTGGAACTACAGGCATGCGCTACCACGCCCCGCTCATTTTGATTTATTGTAGAGATGAGGTCTCACCAAGTTGCTCAGGCTCAGGCAATCCACTCACTTCAGGCACGGGATTACAGGCTGAGTCACCAAGCCTGGCTTTCTGAGAAGTTTTAACCAGGATCCTTGGCCCGGGTCTGTGGGTGGTTCCTTTACCATTTTGATAGTAACTTTCAAATCTACCCTCAGAATGGCAAAGGACTAACCCACATCCCCCTCCTTCCCTCCCTCCCCCAATATGCATTTCGTAAGATACCTCTCAACCAAGCTACTAGCCCAGGAGGGCAAAACCTTAGCAATCATGGAAGAGACGTTTTTGTTAGAATAGTTATTGCTTGTATTATGCTCTACAGTGTTAAAGACACTTAGTTAAAATGAGAACAAGCCTGGGTAGAAGAATCAGGACAGAAGAGTTTGGTAGGCTTGAGTTTTGAGTGAGGTCACATTTCCCGCAGATGAAAATGGTGCAGACATCAAAACAGAAGGAAGAAACATCCTAACGTCTTTCACCAGAAGACAGGGTACAGAGGCCACATAGTAGGAGCAGAACCAACTCTGCTTTGTGATCAGACAGAACTACATATCCAAACTTCCTCTGCCTATAACCAACAGTTATTTAACCACTACTAGCCTCCATTTGCTCATCTGTATTGGGGATGACGATCCCTCCTCACAGGTATTGTGAGAATTGAGAGAGAGCCTATAAAGGGCATGCTACACACAGTAAATGATCAACACAAACCCTTCTCCCACTTTCTCCTGTGATGTCCAGTTTAGCTGTAGTTTATCAGTCTGTGAAAAAGAATCTGATGACGCTGAAATGTTTGGAGCTAAGCATCATTTCTACAGGTTATTCCTAGGGTTAAGGAACTGCCATGGCAATTTATTTTTATTTTTTTCTTTTAGATTGTATCACTTTCTCAAGTTTTGTTAGTTGTAGTTCACTGAGTGTCACTGATAAAATAGGGCAAAGCACTTGCCAAATTCTACACAGAGCACCCCAGAGGCGAGACAATATGTGTAACTCAGGGAGCGGCACAATCCGGAAAACTCACCCAGCAGATATAGTGATGACACATGAAAAGGAATATGGGGAGTAGAAATGTGACAGATGAAGAGAGGAGACCCTGAACACGAGCACTCAAACCAGTGAGGGAAATGACTGAAGGTGACCTGAAATCTGCATTGAGAGACAGGACAGGTAATCACCGATAGGGCAGAAGTGAACAGCAGGATGGGTGGGCCTCTCCCCAGGGCAGTGGCTGTCTATGAGTCATTTAGTCTAAAATAAGTGTATTTTCCATTTTTACAAAAGAACTCTTTGACTTAAATTCAAGTGATTTTGGACTGGCTAGCACTTTCAAGATAAATTAAACAAGCACTAGAATTTGACTTAAAGCTGATAGGTCCAGAAGACTTAGATGATTCTAGGTGTCACTCAGTTCTCTGGGGATACAGGCGGTACTAAGGTCAAAGCTTCTTTCCTCCCCATTGTTGTTACGTTAAATGTCACAAGGGTTTTCTGGGTTCTGAGATTATGAGCCATGATTTTCTTCTTCTATTTCTCTCCATATTTTTCCTGTTTTAATCCTTAATTTTTCTTTCAAGTAGCATTTGTTAAAGTACACTGTGCAAAATGATAATTATGTTTGAATGAGAATTTCACCTGGTCCTAACAGGGATCACCAACCTCAACCCAAGGCACTGAGGCTTAGGATGGGCTCAGAAATCATGCAAGGCTGGAAACGTCCCAAAGGAGCAGCAGACTGCTCACTGGCTTCTCCAACCTAGAGATTAGGGGATAGATTATTGTTGAAAATGTTGACAAAGTACAGGGTCCAAGTTCCATAGAGCACTGTAGCAAAAGTTTTAGGATAAAGAGTTTGGTTCAAATTTTTCTTTTTGCCACTTGGTTATATGATTTTAGAGGAATTATTTAACTTTAAACTTTATTTGTTGTTTTTTTCTCTTTGTAAATCTATATGCCAACTTAAAAAACAGATGATGGAGAGGACGTGGCGGAAAGGGAACACTTCTACACTATTGGTGGAAGTATAAACTAATACAACCTCTGTGGAAAAAAGTTTGGTGATTCCTAAAAGATCTAAAAAATCAACCTTCCATATGACCCCACAATTCCCTTACTGGGAATATACCCAGAGGAACTCAAATCACTTCATGAAAAAGATACCTGCACACATATATTTATCGTAACATTGTTCACAATAGCAAAAACATGGAACCAACCATGCTACCCATACCTATCAAAAGAGAACTGGATTTTAAAAAAATGTGGTACATATACACAACAGAATATTAAGCGGCAAAAAAAAGGGACAAAGTTATGAACTTCACAGCAACTGGGATGGACTTAGAGTATATAATACTGAGTGACCTATCACAGAAACAAAGAACTGAGAATCACTTATAAGTGAACCTTGAACAATTATCATAATACTATAAGAAAAGGATTGGCAGTAGTGGGAATCTGCAGGAATAGGTGGGGGTAGCACACCTTATCAACAAGGTTATGTGCATAGTGAACATTTGTATACCTAACCCTGAATTGTGCCACATCATTAAAATAAAAAAAAATCTATATACCATCACCTCCCACGCAGACTTGGGAAGAATGAGAAGCAATACACTTGAAGTTCCTGGGGGACATTACAAGTTTGGTACATGGCAGACATTGTTGTAGGCCAGGTTAGCAAGCTTGGACATTAACCTAAAGAGACTAAATGAAGAAGAAAAGTTGTTGAACGGATGTGTGATGTGACATAATTGGTCTTTTAGAAAATCCAATCCTACAGCCAAAATTTTTGGAAGAAGCAATCACCAAAACCTCCCAAAGCCTCCCTCGGGCTTTATCAGCAGTTATGCCGTATGGTTCAAGACTGGACATCACCCAAGAATGTATTACAGAATGACAGTATTCTAGGGCTCAACCAGTTCCACATAAGGTCCTTGAATCCCCTCACCCTTGCCACAAGTCCTAGACAGGGCAACATCACATTAACAGTTTCCTGTCCTATAACCTATTTACAAGTCCCTATCCTCAACCACTGCCCTATCCCACCTTGCTGGCTCCCAAGACCATTGTCTCTTTTTCCAGTTTCTGAGCTGGGCTCTTTTTCCTGTTTACAGCCTCTCTCATGTGACCCTTGGGACCGCTTACAGGGCTTGACCTGTCTGGCTTCCTTTCTTCCCAGAGCATGATTCCTTCTTGAACCCCAGTGGCTTCTTCTGTCGTAGGCACAGGTTAGCCCATAGCCCTCCTTCCATTTGCCCCCAGCCCCACAAGCTAGACATGAAGTAGGTTACACTCCCTTTTGAGTACCACATCAGTATTCTTTACCCTGTACAGAGCACACAGTCTCTTGAATTGTATTCAAAAATATAATTTAAATGGCGATGGCAACCACAGGACATATTATACAAAAAAAAAAGAACTATATTGTCTAAATCCATCACAGATGTTCCCTACACACAAGATGGCCTTAATATGATTTTGCAAACATTGAACAGCTGCAAACTTATAATCGGAATTTGCTGACAGAATCACAATGCACAATAAAAGAAAACACGGTCTTTGTTTTCCTAATGCAAATGTCAAGTCATATGAAACAGCCAATTGTATTAAGAATATCTGTCAGTTAGAAATATTATTCAATTTAAGTAATTTAAAATGTTTATAAGGCAAGTTACTTATTAAGCCTGCTTGAGGTTATGCAAAGAGTTGTACATTGTGATGGAAGAGATATGGATACAAGTATGAGAAAGAACTGGAAGAGAACATAGTCCATTGAGAGAGAGATTCAGAAATAGAAGGTCAAATGTGGTTATTTAACCATAACCATCCCATCTCTGGGCTCAAAGGCTATGGACCATTGTGAGTTCCTAGATTTCCCACTTTTACCCCTTCAAAGCAAACCCAGGGAAGAGAAAGCAGTTGACAGCCAGTCATTATCCATGTCTTACTCTCATGACTTCCTCCAGTAAGCCCCTGCTGTCCTATAGTTGGAGGGTCACAGCCATGTTTCTTCCCCAGCCTAACTCCCTTCCTCTTGGTCACCACTTCTCCAAATCCCACCAACTTCCCATGCCCAGCATCAGTCCCTGGTGCTCTGTGACATCTTTCCTGATTCTCTAAGCCCCTTAGCCATCTCCCCTTTCTCTGATCTCTGCTGTGTGTAGTCTATCAGTGATTTTCAAACTGTGCTCTCTGGAGTAGCAGCATCTGAGAACTTGCTGATACGTAATTTCTTGGGCTCCAATCCAGACCTACCAAATCAGAAACTATGGGGAGGCATAGCAATCTGCATTTTCAAGGAGATTCTAAGTCATAATGAAGTATAAGGACCACTGGTCTGTGTCATCCCACTTAGTAGTATTTCCCACCTGCATCCACCCAACTCCAAAGTCCATGTGGGCTTAGGCCCACCAAATGCACTGCTTCTCAACACTACCAAAACTCAACTGCCTGTGTCTACCAGGCACTGGGCTTGAGCATCATATTAACTTTCCTTTACTCTGGGTAAGTGGCTTTTGAGGTCTACCATGCGTTAGTGTATGTACGCTGACTGTTTAATGAGCATCAGGAAGTGCGTTAATCACTTTCAGACACTAATTCATTTATTTATCTGCACAATGATTTTGAGACTT